TCTCTCTCTCTCTCTCTCTCTCTCTCTCTCTCTCTCTCTCTCTCTCTCTCTCTCTCCCTCTCTCTCTCTCTGTCTCTCTCTGTATTTTGAGACAGACCAGGCTACCAGGCTAGCCTCAAACTCAGAGCCTTCTGCCTTTGTTTCCCACGTGCTGATGGGCCAGCATCCTGAGCTGCTCAACTGAAGCCACTTTTAGCCCCCAGACTCGGGCAGTAGCTGTGAGCCTGGTCCTCACCAGTTTCAGGTAGAGTTCTACATCCTTATCCTTCAAGGTGGAGTACACCTTTTCCATCTTGTAGGTGATGCCGCACTGGGAGTCATCCAGGCTCTTGATGAAGTTGTCCCGGATCTCAGCCATGAGGTTGGTGAAGCAGAAAAAGGTGTCAGCTTCAGCGTGCTCTGGGACAGACAGTGAGGTGTGGGTGGACGCAGGGAGTGAGGTGTTCTTGAGTCCCACCTCACCCACAAGACATATGCCCCACTTCAACATGTCACCCAATACCCCTGCAGAGGCTGGAATGGGTCCCCCACCTTGGCCCCGTCTACCACTAAGGACGTCACCACTTCTACCTCATCTTCTAGACACACAGCCTGCTCGGCAGCTTTTGTGCCCTATGCTAATGGGTCTCATCTCTCAGCTGGTCATGAGCATCTATCCCACAGAAAGTTCCAAGGGTCAACAGATCAGTGAACAGCAGTATTTTACGAGGCAGAGATAGACAGCACCTGCTCTGACATGGCCACAGACATCTGAAATAGATGAGGATCCGGAGCCCCACGTGGCCCATCAGCCTGGCTAGCCCCATTCTCTTTCTCTAGGGAGCCAGCAATGGGAGGCTTGGGCAGCCAAGAGCCTGTTTACCTTTCCACTCGCTGTTCGGGTCAGTGGCAAAAGTGTAGTACAGGGGACCCACGATCTCATTCATGCCCTGCACGTAAGCGATGCCAGGGTTGAGCTTGGCATAGATGAACAGGATCCGCTCCACCACCTCCCAGTGGGCTTCACAGCCATTGGGCAGAACCTCATACTCATTCAGGGCTGGTGGTGAGTTGTTCTTGTGCGGGGAGCTCATCTGGGGAGAAGAGGAGAACCTGTTAGCAGGTCAAATGTTCCCATGAAGCCCAACATGCCTTAACATCCTAGTTTATGACCAAGACATGATATGGAGGAACATGTCACACAAGGAAGAGGAGGTGGATGCTGTAGGAAGACACTGAGTAACAACCAGGTTAAAAAAGAGGTCCCACTTCCTTTAGTCCTAGCACTTGAGAGACAGAGGCAGGCAGATCTCTGTGAGGTTGAGGCCAGCCAAGGATACATAGTGAGACCCTGTCTTAAAAAAAAAAAAAA